TACCAGGGATGAGAGGGGAGGGGAGGGAACACTATTAGATAGATAGAGATAAGTATTGATTTGGGTGAAGAGAATGGCAATGTACCAAATGTGAGTGATCAATATGGTGGCATTTAGGAAGAGAAAGACAGAGAGGTACGTGGGAAGTACAGATTACAAAGATGAACCCTTTTGCACATATAGTACTGTGTTGTCAGTGAAGGCAAACATGGGTATATGGGTGGATAGATGGGTAGACAGGCTAAACTATTAGGTATGTCTATGAAGTGGGGAGTGTACCCAAGAACATGTATAGGGTTGGCAGACAATGGTCCTGTAAGTTTATGTGTATGATCTGAATTCCCAGATGTATAATAGAGCAGACAAGGGGCAAGGTTGTAGTCACTGCTTGTCACAGCCAGCTATACAGAGGGACCGAGTAGTTGAACCTGTGGGCTAGGGACCATAGTCACAGGGGACATCTAACTCAATTGGCATAACATACTACACAAAACATTGTTCCACCTCCTACTTTGACGAGTAATGACTGGGATCTTAAAAGCTTGCAAGCTGCCATCTAGATGCAGTGATGGGTCTCTTCTCGTCCAGATCAAAGAAGAATGAAGAAAACCAAAAATTCATGGAATCAATTAGTCCTAGCGACTGGTACACCATCTGATCTGCAGCCTATACAACTATAAGACCAGAAGAACTAGATGGTGCCCGGCTACTGCTGTCAACCACTTGGAAGGGGATCTATATAGGAGATCTTGGATAGAGAGAGAGAATAATGTGGAACAAAACTCAAAATCATTTGGGGAAAAAAAAAGGCGGGGGGATCAGTTTTGCTGGTCCGATAGAGCCTGGTGGAACCACTGAGACTATGGCCCCTAGCTTCCCTTCAGGTCTGGATCCCAGACCTGTGGCTTTGAGCCAAACAAAAGACAGGAATATGAGTTGAACATTTCCCTGAGGTAGATACACTCCTTGGAGAGAACAATCATGGAAGAAAGAAAGGCTGCTTATACACAGAGAGGTAGCTCAGGGGGCCAGAGTATGTGGAGGGATGGACACAGGGAAGAGGTAACTATCAGGAGGAAGTGAGAGGGGAGCTGTTGCACTGTGGTAAATTGTGGTCAATGTCATAAGACAAAGTGTATGTGAACTGCTGTATGGAAAGTGAATTTGCTCTGTAAATTTTCACCCAAATCAGTATAAAAAAATAAAAGTGCTAACTAAACAAACTCACTGCCATTGAGTTGGATGTGACTCATAGCGACCCCTCCTTGGGTTTCTGAGGCGTTATCACTATGGAAGTAGATTGCCCCATCTTCTGTCTCAGGAGTGGCTGGTGTGCTAAATAAGTACTCAAGACAGAAGGGACATACTATTAAGGGAAATTATAATAAATAATGTCTTAGGCTGGGTTCTCTAGAAAAGCAAAACTAGTGAAGCTTATAAAGAGCGATTTATCTCAGAGAAAAGACTCATGGCAGTTGTAGGTATCAGGCTGGCAGCTTTCCCTGACTCATGTAGCTCAAAACTCAAAATTGGCAGGCTGCTGGCTACAGACGTTGACAAACCCAAGATTGGCAGGTAAGATGGCAGGCTGCTGGCTCACAGGCTCTGAAGGCTAGAGATTCCAAAATCAGCAGGCAAATATGGCAGGCTGCTGGTTCAGGTCCAAAGAACTGGAGGTCTTATGAAAATGAGCCACATGCAAGATGCAGATTGAGCAAAAAGCCAGAGAACTTTGCCAGAACATCCATATATATTGGAAGCAAGCCACAGACCTGAGAAAACTCCCTTTTAACTGATTGGCTACTCATAGTAGATTTCTTCATTGAGTGATTACATTATATGAGATCTCATCATGGGGAATGACTACATCATAACTGCCAAACTTGAGGATCAAGCCAAGTTAACACACAATCTTAACCATCACAAATACTAACCCATCTCTGTAAAACCTGGGGCAAATGGGGAGAAAGGGGAATTAAAGGTCTTCCAAAGGAGTCACTGCAGGGAGGGAGGGTGAAAGGATCCTAAATATCCCATTGGGATGAGGGGATAAATAGGAGGAAGTAGTTTATGGTGGGGTAAACAGTGTGCATCTTGGTTGGAGAAGTATTTGGTATCTCATTCTCAAATAATAGTAAAATCATATGCTTCTAATTACTGGAGCAGGAAAAGGGAGGAGAACCATTAATGGAAAAGAACCATGCATGGAACTCCCACAAACAAAATCTAACCATTACATTAAAAATAAATAATAAAAAGGTGACCAAAAATATTTTAACTCCTTGAATATAAAGGAACATACATACAAGTATGGTAGTACTTTGTGAGGAAAAGAGCCATTACTTGTCATTCACTTGTTCATTCATCCAGCAAAATTTATTGAAATTATTCTCTCAAAAAGAGTTTCCTTTTTAGATTTGGTTAAATATAAGCTATATTTTGTTATGTTTCATCAAACAGTGCTTTATTTAGTTAAATGGAAATGTCAAACATGAATTTGTTTTGTTTTATATTTTCCCTGCAGGATTGACAGTTGGCTTAATGCAGCAATTGAATGCTTGGAGTATTTCCCTGACCAGTTAATAGTTACAGTTAGTCAGCAGGTACTACAAAATGCAAATGAAAAGACAAAATTGAATATTCAGAAGAAGATACTCTTTGATGTCATAGTAAAAATACTATAATCAAGAGAGAGACTGCCTATTAACTGATGAGTATTTTGATGTTCATTCAGGAATTATTGAACTTCTAGGTAAGGAAGGATATTTAAACTTTGATTTTCTGCATAATATGACATTTTTAAGCATATGAATTGAAGTAGAAAATTTTTAATATTTTGTAATACATTTTAATATTTTCCTTCTATGATGTCAAGATACTTCATGCAGTTTAGTTTTTATTTCACTAATGTTAATGTCATTTATATTATAAAATTAACTAATGTAATACAGGACATTAGATCTAAGGTACAGGGACAATGTGAGACACATCTTGATATAGTACAAGGATTAGAGAACTGAGGTACCTGGAAATATTAATTTCTGATGCATTAACCTAATGACCTTTTAGCAAAATAAAACTTGAGTGATATAATATCATGCCACTTTTTTTTTTTAGCCATGTAAGTAACCACATAATTTCATGTTAAAAACTAAATACTATTTGATAATGCTGTAATTATACAAGTGTTTAACACACTATTCTATAAGATAATTTTCTGTGTGTTTGAAATATTTCATAATTTAAAAAATTTAATTATAAAAAATAGCTCCCAGACCAATCTTAAAAGCTTGCAAGCGGCCATCTAGATGCAACAATGGGCCTGTCCTCATCCAGAGCAAAGAAGAATGAAGAACCAAAGACACATGGAAACAATTAGTCCAAGAGACTGGTACACCATGCAGTCCTCAGTCTATATGACTATGAGACCAGAAGAACTAGATGGTGCCCAGCTACCACTGGCAACCACTTGGATATAGATCTATGTAGGAGATCCTGGATAGAGTGGGAAAACAATGTGCAACAAAACTCAAAATCATTTGGAAAAAAACAAAAGGGACCAGGTTTGCTGGTCTGATAGAGCCTGATGGAACCACTGAGACTTTGGCCCCTAGCTGTCTCTCAGGTCTGGAATTGAACTCACTCCTGTGGCTTCCAGCCAAACAAAGGACAGGCTGAACATTTACATTAGGTAGATACACTCCTTGGAAAGATCAATCATGGGAGAATAGACACATTGTATGCATAGGGAGACAGCTCAGGGAGCAAGAGTGCATGGGAGGGAAGGACACAGGGAAGAGGTAACTATGGGGAGGAAGTGGAAGTTGTTGCATTGTGGGAAATTGCAGTCAATGTCATGAGACAAAAGTGTGTGAACTGCTGTATGGAAAGTGCATTTGCTCTGTAAACTATCACCCAAATGACAATAGAAATTTTTTAAGGGAGACTTCCAGTAAGATGGAGGAATAGGTAGACAAGCGACATAGACCCTCTTCAACAAAGAAAAGAAAAACCAATTGACAGAGATACAGAAGATAATCCTGGAGCCCTGAGCTTTGAAAGGAACTATACAGAAGTGAATTAGGCACCAACTAGTGGAAAAACCTGAATGAAAATAGTGAGTACAGAGATGGTTGAAGCTGCAGACTGTCAGCTACTCTGATGGGACCAACAGCCTGAATATTTCCAAGTGGTCTTGGGACCTGAGAATTGACCTAAAGATCAGCCCTGGTTACCAAGAGCTGCAGGGACAACTGCGCTGGTTGGTGGTCTATGACTAGGAAGGGAAACAGCAAGGAGGGAGACAACTTGAGCTGTTGACTTTCCGCTCTCAGGAGGGTGCAGCCATTTTGAATATTTAAAGTGACCAAGGGCATAGCCATTTTGAATGTTTATAAGTGGCAGCCATTTTGGATATTTAAAGTGACCGAGAGCATAGCCAATTTGAATGTTTACAAGTGTTGGCCATTTTGGATATTTAAAGAGACCGAGGGCATAGCCATTTTGAATCTTTACAAGTGGCCACCATTTTGCATTTTTAAGTGATAGCATTCTCATTCAGATTCCAGGGACCTAAGAATAGGCTCTGTTTGCCAAGGTCGGCAGGGACATACGGGAGGCTGACAACAGGAAAGGAGACAGGTGGTGAGTGTATAAGTGCTATAAACTAGTGAATAGAGGAGCACAGCACAGTACCTTGCTTGCATAGATAACATACAGCGAATACGAAATCGTGGGCAAGTCACTCCAACATACAATTACCAATTAAATATAAACACAAAAACATCACAATGCCTCAGAGACAACAGGGCATCACAGTCCACACAAAGAAGCAAGACAAAGCAGGAGAAACAAGGGACCAGGATACAGACCCAAAACACATCCCTGAGGAAGAGGCAGCATTGGAATTCCCTGATAAGGAATTCAAAAGAATTATATTTAGGTATCTTCAACGAATTGAGAGACAGATCGAGAGAAACAGAGAGAAAACCCTAGAACAATTTTGAAAGACAATACAAGAACAAAATGAAAAGTTAGAAATGATACAAAATCTACAGACAGAAATCCAGAAGATTAATACTAAATTTTCAGAAATAGATAAGACAAGACATTGAATGGGCAAAGGAGCAGAATTGAATCAATGGAAGACAGAATTAGGGAGATTGAAGGCAAATATCTGAACATTTCTTTGGAAAGGGATAAACCAGAAAAAAGATCAAAACAAAATGAAGAAAACCTAAGGTTCCTGTGGGATACCATCAAAAGGAATAACCTACTTGTAATCAGAAAGCCAGAACAGGAAGAGACAAATAAAACCACAGAGAAAATTGTCTAAGATTTGTTGGAACAGAATTTTCCTGGTATGACAAAAGATGAGAATATATCCATTCAGAAGTCCAATGAACCCCAAACAGGATAGACCCCAAAAGAAAATCACCAAGACATATCATCATCAAACTCACCAAAACCAAAGACAAAGAAAGAATC